TGTGAAGACAGCGATGACGCTCATTGAAACCTTTTTTTTTTTTAATTTTCGATTTGGGGAAAATTCAAGTTTCATCATTTGGAAATATAAAAGATTTAGAGATCGGCAGTTCCGCAAGTACAGAATAAAACTGTAAATAGTATGGAAGTATATTGTAATCATAAATCTGGTTTATTAATAAAATTTTGGTTTGAAATGAATTAACAGGCAGCCACATCTAATTCAATGATCTAATTCCTGAGCACTCAGCAGCAATAAAAAGCAACAATCACGAACAAACAGGGGTGGAAAAGGGTGCAATTATTATTCTTGATCATATTTGACGTTCTAGGGACGTTAATTTCTATGAATGTATTATTCTTCATTGTTTAAAGGAAAAGTCCAAAGCACAACCCAATGTGTTTGATTCTTTCCTAATTTTTAGCTACTTCGGGAGGGAAAGATTCAGCAAACCAAGAAAAGGTGAATTTGGAGGATGAGCTTTTATCAGTGGTGAGAGATGAAACAAATTAATTGCACTGCTCAAGTTTGTGAGTGAAAAAAGACCTATGAAAATAAATGAAACACAAACAACTGAATCATTACGGCTAAATATTTCCTTTACTTAAAATAAAATATTCTTCTTTACCATTCCAAGGTCAATCTGGATTCAAGAAGGAGTCAGATGACGATGATGGAAAATCAACAGGTACAAATAATTAGAACAAACGCGGAGTGTGTGTTAGCTTAAGCGTCAATTAAACACTGGGAAACACGTTGCAAAGCAAGTCAGCTTTTCGAATATTGAAGAGGAACTGATCACTTTTGGAGGGTCAATATTTAGGATAGAATAAGGAAGAAATTATTTTTTAACCGAAACCGCCACGATAACCATACGTTTTACATTTTTCACTTTCCAATTGAAACTGATTTGGGCTTTAGATATTTTTACACTTAGGGGAAAAACCTTGCATATATTAAGAGATAAAGAAAACAAAAGTCATGAAAAATCACGAGTATTATAACTATTTACATGTATTGAGGGTCCCAATGGGGTTAACCGTTAGCCGTAAAACGGCCAAAATATTTAGCCGTTAGACGTAAAAATTGACAAATTTTAACCGTTAGTCGTAAAAAAAGTTAACCGTAAAAAATATCTCTGGTGGAAACAATGGAAAGGTGTTAACCGTTAGCCGGAAATTGGCCAAAATTTTAACCGATAGCCGTAAAAGCCATCACCCCATTGAGACCCTCATGTATTGGTATTTTAGTTGGTCAACAGGCCTCCTCAACAGCAGCTGTTGGAGGCCTGGACTTTGCTGATAACGGTTTATCAGGTGAGAAAAAAGAAACAAGCATCTTTAGATTTCTTTTTAGAATTAACAATAACAAGACAACTAGTACTGAAATTTTGTCAACTATCAACTTAGTTGATAGTGAATCAGAGCCATTCGCTCTGACGAAGAGCTAATGCTTGAAATGTCAGCTTTAAAACTCTTTACGGTTGCTAATTTAAGTTATCAACTCAGTTAATTACCTCGTTATACTCTCCCACCGACACAACACCACAGTGTTTTTAGAAACTTATCCCCTCTACTATATGTCAACTATGATTAGTAAAGCGAATATTCTTGGTACCTCGACAGTCTAACAGACCAGTTATCAATCGCATTATCACAAGTTTAGTCCATGAGTGCCTCCTTGATCAGTTGATGACACAAAAAAGAGTGAAAACCATTTCGTTGTAATTTCATTGACAGACAAAAGAGAAGCTACTCCTGTTGAGAAAAAAGTGGATATGAAGGATGCTCCTTTTGTAGGAAAGTTAGGAAACACAGACAAATCAAAGTCCTTAAAAGCCTGAGTTAAATAGAATTTAATATACAAAGATTATTTTCTGAAAATCACTTGCACGCATATTTCACCAAGTATGTGGGGTGACTGGGCGGAATGGATTTTGACCAAGGAGTTTTTGAATGTTGCGTTACCGAGACGAAGTCGAGGTTTATAAATCGAAAACAAAAAGAGCTTCAATTTACACTATAACATGTTACCCCGTGTTGAAATCATTTACTGTATTACGTTCACTTGGACGACAGAGCGAAAGACTTACGAACGACTACACCACCTACGCAAGCACTGTCAGACGAATACGACAAAAACTCTGGTTTTATCACCGCTGTGAAGATCACGGCCTTGTTCCGGCTTAAACTTAAGTCCCCGTTGAACACATAGGACGCCATCCAGATCGTCAAGGCCACCTACAGACGACTGGTCAAAGCGCGGATAAATGATTGCCACAGAAGACTCAAACGCTACAAAAACAAAACACAACAAGTACACGACAAAATTAAATAACTGATACCTACTGAATTACTTGACATTGTTACGACTATTGCCGACAAACGAGCCAACAAAGCGACTGAACGTGCCCGTACTGGGCATCAACAGAAACTGACACGACTTCGACAACTGTGTGAGGAACATTTCTTCCCGACCCTTAGACAAGAATGAAACTCGCCTACTGTCATACGGACTGAAACGCTCAGTTACACCGAAACGGATACCGACCGAGGTTATTGTATCTAGTGTTGAAGCGGCTCTGTCTCGGGAAAGAAAACTATCTGAGTCTACTAAGGATAACATCAGAAGTAAAATTGCTTCCACTCTACAATCAGCGTCACAACATATTGTTTCTTTCTGTGGTTCTCTGACATACCAACTGTCCAAGTACCTGACGACAATACTACAACCGCTGACCGACAAATCCAGACGAAAATTACAATCTACTGAGGACTTCATTAACGCCACTAAGATTGTACAGATACCTGACGACTACAAAGTAGTGTCATTTGACGTGAAATCGTTTTTTCCGAGCATTCCACTTCAACTGGCACTGCAATGTACTGAGACTGCTATCTTAAAATATACCGACCCTCTGCCGCTACCGACAGAGGACATTGTGGACTTACTAAACCTTTGCCTGATGTCAGCTTACTTTCAGTACAACGGTAAACACTACAAACAGTTACACGGTACAGCTACAGGGTCTCCAGTTTCTGTTGTTGTAGCAGAAATTGTGATGCAACATCGAGGAAAGCGCTCTTTCGACTTGCCGACAAGCGATACCGCTTTGGTTACGTTACGTTGACGATACTTTCACAGCCGTACGACACGACGAAATCGACGCATTCCACCGCCTCCTTAACGAACAAAACACTGACATACAGTTTACTTGAGAGGTCGAAGAAAATGGTAAACTACCTTTTCTAGACTGCCTGATAAGCCGTGACGACAACTCACTACGGATAACAGTTTACAGGAAACCGACACATACCGACAGATTACTAGACGAGTCATCCTACGGCCCAACATCACACAAAGCCACAACTATCAGGACTCTTACACGACGAGCGCAACTAGTATACAACACGATAGACAGCTTATCTGACGAGAACTAGTACCTTGACCGTGTTTTTTCTAAGAACAACAACGACGAAGACTTCGTCCAACGTAACACTCACCGATCTACTACTACTACCGAAGCTAGCGACAACACAACTCCTACGACTACAGCAACTATACCGTACATAAAGGGCATATCTGAGAACACCTCGCGCATCCTGCAACCATTCAATATTCGCGTCCCTCACAAAACTCTTACCACACTACGTCAGTTACTGACTAGCGTTAAAGACAAAGACGAACCGAGAAACAGGGACTGCCAAGCCTCCTACACCGGTGAGACTGGCAAGAAACCTCACAACTAGACTGACTGAACACAAACGAACAACGAGGAAAGGCGATGTCAACAATGGCATTGCTGAACACCACCGACTTTCGAACCACACTATTCACTGGGACTCTGCGCAATGCCTAACCTGCAGCGCCAACTACTTTCAACGACTGACCCTAGAAAGCTGGTTTACCAACTTGGAACAGACTCCCCTCAACAGGCGTCAATCACTACCGGCACCATACAAACGACTCATTCACGACATTAACATTACAAAGGAACGAACAGAACGACCTAACTCCACTAACGGATCGAGACCGACCAATCACGTTGCTAAACGTCACCGACTTACGAACCACACTATTCACTGGGACTCTGCGTAATGCCTAACATTACAAAGGAACGAACAGAACGACCTAACTCCACTTACGAATCGAGACCGACCAATCACGACCGACCTACGCCACTTGAGTCTTACAGCCAATAACATCACGGCAAGACTGACCAATCAGTTTATACAAACCGGACTAAGAACATTCGACTCTGACAACAACTATTCACTTGACTGTGATGATGACTTCTGCCTTTTTTCCATGACAAAGAGGATGATTCTATTAGATTAGAAAAGTCTGATCAAGATAGAAAGTCTAACTGAACTCCCTCAGAGGGCCAGTCCGCATCTTTAGATATTTTTAATTAAATAATGTTTTCACCAAGTAGATAGCAATAAATGAAGTCAGTGGGCATTGATTACAACAAACGCCATGATACAAACATTAAAATAAACAAACAATGGATCATTAACTAAAAGTGTTCTTAGTTTAAAGGTAAATGATTGTTTTTTGTTTCATGGTTGAAGGCCAAATTGTATTAAAGAAGGAATCAGATGGCAATGATAACAAATTAATAGGTATAAGTGATAAGTGTAACACTCAAACAGTTTGGAAGCCTACATCTGTAGGAAGATTATCCAAAAAAGAGCCTTGAATCATTTTTGTTTAAAATTGAGCAAAATGACTATATTTCAATTGTGACATTGGTCTGCACAGTTTCCGCAATTTCAAAGCACTCTATGATTGTTTACAAGTACTTGTAACGTTAAACAAATTTCATTGTTTTCCTCGCACCTTGTTACTTGATCTTAAATGCTTACGCGGCTAAGAAGCCGTTGAGAGACAAGTGTTGTAGAAATTCACCCAAGGAAACTTTTTACCAAAAGGACAGTTGTAGTTACTTCAAATGAAACGTTTCCAGACAATTGAGCGACCACTTCCTCGATACTGCCTTTAGTTATACCAACAAGTTCAATTGCAGCGTCTTCAAGAAACCGGGGAAACTACCAACACATTGGAAATCTGAGGTCCTTACCAAGTGGAAAAGGAATTGTATCACTGGCGCACTCCATAGAGCCAAACGCATCTCTACCGATTTTGACAAGGACATAAAAACTCTAGAAACTTCTTTCATCAATGCAGGTTATCCGAAACGTTTTATTTCACATACAATCAACAACTTTCTAAACGACTCGTCACAAGATGACAACTTAATTCCGAATTTTCTCTTCGAAGAACGAAAGAAAGTTTTCGTCAAGCTTCCTTTTTGCGGTAAAAACGAAAAACTCAGTAAGACGTTTATTGAAAAACTAAACAAGTTTACTAATTTCAATTTCATCTTTATAATCCGGTGGCAAAAAAGGCAAATCAAAAGCCTCTTTAACAACAAAGACAAAAACACTCCCAGATCCAAAGTTGTTTACAAAGGTGATTGCTCTTGTGGCGTTAATTACATTGGCGAGACTGTGAGAAACTTAGCAGTACGAATTGCGGAGCATTCAAATCTTGTTCACACCTCTGAACCTGCAAAACACCTGCGGGAAACCCATCACATTCTTTCACTTGGCGTGTTCTCTTCTCAGCACAAACATTCCACAAGCGTAGGATCGTCGAGGGACTAATGATCCAACAATTCCGCCCCAGTTTGAACAAACGAGTTATTTCTTATGTCTCCAAACTTTTCCCATCGGGAATTACATAAGATAGATATGTACGTGTGGACGGTCATCTTTTTTTTTTTTAACCCTGATGATGGCAAACAGCCGAAAACGTTTGGTTTAAACATTTTTTAATTTTTCAACCTTTTTATCCTTGTATATAGAATACATTTTACAAAGCGAACATTATGG